AAATGAAGTTATGTTAATATTCAGTTAAATTTGATTATCAATTTTTTTTTTATCATAGATCGATTATTTCAATCAACTTGAAATAGCAGAAAGCTTCACATAATAAATCACTGAAATGGTACCAATTAAAGGATCAAATCATTCAAATTGGTTTTCTTCAATCAAGTCAGTCTCTATTTCATCAATGAGCAAACAGGTCTACATCAACACTTTAGTCATAAATCCATTCGAGTGGGTGTGGGTATAGGTTTCAGAAAAGATCAAGAGAGCAATCACACTCACATCCTATACAGCATTAAAGTACTACCAACAATAATTTTAGGTTGCCCTAAGTGTTATGATCTTCATTTGAGTTTCATAAAAACTAAGTCAATCGTGAATGTATATATATATTTGAAAAAAAATTTTCTCTCATTTTCTAATTTTTCAAATATTTCATGAAAATTTTTGCGTTGTTTTATTCTTTGGTCTTATTTAAAGACAAACACAGACCTTTGACGACGCAGTAGAGATTATTTGTAACCTGACTGGAGAAAATTGAGATTTTTTCCCAGTAAGAATCATTCCTTTATTCGAGAAAAAAGATTACAGAATAAAAAACATCTGGACTCCTTCTCTTAAAAAAAAATATATATCCTTCCAACTGTCAACAACTTTTTTCCCTACCTTCTCTCTCCCGTTCGGCTTTTTTTTATTGGCCATATATTTACGCAAACAGAAAACAAAATAGAAGCATTGATATTATTTGAATAAACGAACTTCTTACAGGTAGGTCTTCATATATAAATGTTTTAATATAGATTTTTCTTGATGAATCATAGAAAAGACACCTATCTTATATTTAACGTTGGATAAGCGTAGGGTTTGATTTCATCAGATGTTTTTGTGGATGATCTATTAGTTAGATCATTCAATGTCGTAGAAGACGATGCTAAAGACATTGTTATTAAATTTCATTAGCTACTGAAGAAGAAAAAAATGTAGAAATTCAGATATACTGTATTTTTAGCCTTTGAAATAAATTTTTTGAGATGAATAACTCTGAAATTTTTCTCAAAAATTCAATATGACACTTTATGACTCGGTGCAATTTCATGGGTTTATTATTGTTTCCATAGAAATTAGGGAATTCTTTGCATATCAGTAAAGATTAACAGAATAGAATTCAATAGCGATAGCAACTGATATATAAATTATTGACAATATGTTCGTTTTTTTCTAAATCGAGTTTTATTTATAAATAGTTTGAGTGAAATCTTTCGATTCCTTTCTTCTATCGAGTTATGTTACATCACTGGGTTGTTAATTAACTAATATCTATTTTTTTTTGTTAACTGATTCTTTGAATGATCTAAATCTATGAATCATTGTAATATTTTGATATATGAAAATACTTAGCAATGTAGAAGTGATTATGGTCGTCATAGTTTGATAAAGAAATTCAACTCAATAATGAATCACTCATGAAAAATTTTATTGTTACAAGCATATTCACTAAAAACTTTCTCATGCTTGAGTTTTTGTTGTGTTAAGCTTGTTTTTTTGTTTCTATAAAAACTACCATAATTTTGGTTTTGTATTATAGACGTGTTTTTATTTCTGACGTTCTAAAGCGCTAATCATAAAGTAGGATGTACAAAAAGAAAGGAAATGAAAAAAAAGAGACAAAAAAATAGGATAAATGAGAAAATGAGAACACCTACGGGAACATAATGCTGATGATTTTTTCATCAAAGCTTGTCTCCAGAGAAACCATCATTAACAACTAAGAAATGGAACGTTTCTTTCTTAACTTTCTTCTTTATTATTAGCGAATTCTCGACCTCCTTCTGAAAAGAGATTTATGGTTACCAGCTGGTTTACCGTTTTTTGATGGTTGAGATGAATATCTTAGTCCACTTTCTTTTATTTTTTTTCTTAAATTAACTGTTTGTAATCGAACGAAATATTCAGTTTCGTAAAATTGAATGTTTTGAAAATTTTCTTGAATAGATTTGATGGCAAAACAAGTGAAATTCGCCACAACAGATTCAGTGAAGTATTCTGAAGCAGATGATGAACGTGTCAATTTTGATGCACAACAATTAGTAAATGGAGAATTAAAACTAGAGAATTATCAACCAATACGAGAACTTGAAAAAATCAAGTTTGAAGGCGATCAAGCAATACAGATGACCAATTTTTCGACTCCTCAAGAAAAGAAAATGGCTGAAAGTCTTCAGCGTAATACGAATGGTTGGATTGACACAGCAAAAGATGTCTTAACTGCTGTTATTGATGTCGGTGGTTTAGGTAAGACTAAATAAAAATGTTAATAATCATACTTATACTCTTGTTTATAGTACAAACATGTGGACCAGCAATAAACGCCGGTATTCTTAAACCTGATGATGTGACACGTGCAACTCATCATGTGATATCGCTCGGTGAAACATTAAAACGAATCTATAATCGGGCATGTGATAATGCTGTGAAGAATTCCGATGAATTCTTATTAGCAATTGAAAGTAATGACAACATAAGTAAAAATTCAACAGTTCAAACAGCAGTGAAACAACATCGAAACGATGTGAAAGAATTCCAACAAGGTAAAGTCAGTGTTGATGTACCTTATCAAAGTCATGCTAAACTACGACAAACTATTAAACAAGTTGAACCAAATCAACAATCTAATGTACATAAGAAAGCAGAAGAATCTAGTCGAGCTTGGGATTTAGCGAAAGCTCTTGGAACGATCGTTTTAGCTGCTGGTATCATTGTTAGCATGGTTCTTTTGAAACGTTGATTGATCAATAATAAATTGGCTATTTTAAATAGAATTACATGACTCCTTCGCATAACTCTAACACTTTGTATAACTTTTTCTATTTTTTTATTTTAGAAAAACACAAAAATATTCAAATGAATGCATCGTAATAATTATTCATGACGATTTTCTTATTCAAGGAGTTTTAAAAATTCACATGCTAATGTCATTTATCATAAATTCTAATCACTAAAATATTCAATATAAATAAATAAACAAGAATTATTTTACTTTATTTATCTTTAATCAAAAAGCAAATGCACTTTTTGAAAATTAATTTGATTGTTGCATATAATCCTCTCAAGCATAACTGACTTTACTTTATTGTTTATCTTTGTCAGTATTTCCAATTATTACAGCTTCGCTTTGACGTTTTAAAAAACATCTCTTGAAAATATTTTTTAGATTTTATTGGTGAACAAACAAAAAAGCAATTTAGTTTCTGATGAGGAAGCCTCAATAATTGATACTTTCTCTTTTAGATCATACTTTACTCATAATGACGACTCATAGTATAGATAAAAAATCGTTAAAAGATTCTTTCCATAAGGCTTTTCTTCACAAGTTATGATTATTTGACTGAATTTTCAATCTATTGCAGAGTATTACGAGTAAAACCTAGTCGACGAATTTCACTTTGGAATTTCGTCCACGAACAAATTTCATGGCGATTTTACTTTAATGGAAAAGGACGTTTTTTTGTACACTTGTTATCTTGATAATCAATTATTGATTTTAGCTGAAATCAGTAGGGTATTACACAAAGTATGATGTGTGGGTATAGTTTGAATTTTTCTTCAAATCAACACACATCCACGCATATACTCCCAATCTTTTCTTTAGGTTCATACAAATCATATCATCTTAATTGTACTTTTACTACTCATAATTATCATTTAAGATTTTGTCTACATAATGAAACAAATAAAACAAACAAATCTACTGATTGCATCGTTCGTTTAACATTACCAAATAGTGGACAACACAAATTCTTGTTTTTAAAAACCTATGAAATAGAGGTGTGAGTGCGGGATGTGTGTGAAAAGAAGACACCCACACCCACATCCTTACCAATTTATTATATACATGTACACTCGACTTACTTCATTTTCTTTTCTTTGTAATGATTTTTTATCTCTATACTTTTTTCTTTCCTTTATGAATTCTTCTCTAGAATGCTTAAATTTCAGTTAAATAATACTCCTGATTTAGTATGTATGATGAAAAGTGAAATATGATATTTCACACATAGCACGATCCTATATGATTGTATACGTTGGTATAGGATGGTAAACGATGAACGTTTAATTCTGTATACTGAAGATCGGATAATACTTTTTCAAAACTATGCATTTTTATACGACCTTCATAACTGTTCGTAGACAGTCGTGTACAAGGGTGCTTGTTCAACTTGGGTTACCTTAGATTATAACAAGATTATTTTGATTCGATGATATAGCAAAAAATTATAAAGTTTTGTTCCAAATTGCGACATTTAATATAGTTGGTATATTTTTCGAACAAACAAATGGAATGACATGATTGAAAAAAAAATAAAAGAAATTCAAACGCATTGATATTCCAAAAAAAAAGAACTTCGCGAAATTACAAGTAATTTTTTGAAGATACACGAAAATAAAACTAAAATATCACGCGAAGAAAGGTCAGCTTAGCCATCCAACACAAAAAAAATGTCATTTGATTCAAAACTACAAACAATAAATTCGAATGCTATTTGAAAGTTCGAAAAAAAAACCACAATATATTTCTTTTACGAGGCAATAGAAATTTATTACAGTTTTTGTTGCAAGAGATTTCGATTTTAAATCACAGGGAAAATAAATTAATTGCAATTTAATGGTTTTGGATAATTTTTTAATTTTTATTTTTTTGTTTTCATTTGAGATATGAAAACGACTAGATAATAATTTTCAAAAAAAAAGAACTTATAAATGCGTTAAATATGCCAACATTTGTTGATAAATAATTAACACATAAAATTCATTTTTTTTGAAAAATTAAGTTTTTACATATTATAACAATAGTAAATATCATTTGATGAGAAAAGCCACTTAATTCACATTATTATTTCACCGGTAAATTATTAAAAGAAAATTTGAATTACTAAGCAAATTGATTAGAACAGAAAAAGACAAAGAGCGAAGATGTTCACTTATGGAATATGTTCTTTAGACTATCCTTGAATAGGACAGACAGGATTCCGTTTTTTTCGAAAATGTGTACTCATTGAATAAGTAGGTAATATCATTTCATCATAATCGATTTTATCTTTATCAATAGAATTTTCTTCATCTTGTATTATTTGATCAGATAATAGATCTTTATGAAAAAAAAAAAAGAAATATTTGAAGAGTAAATAAATCCTATAGGTTTACCTATTGATGTTGTTGCTGAGATCGCTTGATCATTCAAAAGATGTTGTTGACGTGATTGTTCATCATTAAGAATATCAAGAAAGAATTTTTTAAAACATGATATTAATTCATCTAATTATATTATGTAACTTTTATCATAGAGAAAACATGAAAATATTTTAACAAACCTGGTTTTTCAGCAGCATTATTACTATTCGCAACAATATTCGTTGGATCTACAAAAAAAAAAAAGATGAAAAAAAAATTAACTGAAGAAATTTTAGATATGCAAAGAAAAATAACATACTCTTTTCATTGCTATCATAAAATGAATATATATCATCTGGCGGTTTAGCAGACGTAAAATCTTTGATATCATCTTTCCAGCAAAACAATTGAGTAAAACCATATAAAAATGCATTATATAATGTACAGGTTAAATTACTGACTATGTCTATTGCAGAGTTTATTTTTAATATGTCTTTGACATTTGACTCTTAATATTTATATCGAATATTAGTTAAAAGAAAATTTTCGAAATAATTCGCCTACTATTTATTTGATCATCAATAACAATATCAAGTTTATTCTCTACTATTTCATTAATATTACAAGAAAGATTTTCCTCTTTCATAATAAGACCTATAATATAGATTGATAAAAAAAATAAAATAAAATAAAATGTTTTCCTTAATACCTTGATAACTATTATTATTTAATGGGGCAAACACTAGCTTATTGTATACTTCTAAACTTCTATTACATGCTAGTTCGACCTTGGTAGCATAATGTTTACAGTCTTAACAGATGATACGAAAATTAATGTATAAAATATTCTTTTTTTTAATGATACTTACAAATACAAATACTTATACCAAAAAGTATAACAAATATATAATGCTTTCTCCCATTGATGTATTCTACAAAAATCAATTGACATCATCATATGGTTGATCTTGTCAGTTTTAATTTAAAAATGAAACTCACTTTGAATCTTATAAAATAATAGTTCAACTAAAATAAAAAATAAAGAAGTCGATACAAGAGAAAAGCAAAATCTGAAGAAAGAACCTCGATGACAAGGTCGAGTTTTTCCAAGTCTTATATAATTTTGATTGGTATTGTGTACAATACAATCAGGTATTTGTCGGCCTATTTATTTCGAAAATGTTTCAATATGAATATATTTTTTATATAATAAATGAACACAAACTTTGAAGATCTATAACTGGATCGAGTGGTATTTCAGTAACTGTTTCAGAATATTCTACAGAAATAAAAATGATTAAAAAAGTAATAATAACTTTAAATTCAAAATATCCTAATCGTCAAATGAATATCTTTCAAGCAAGTAAGATAGATTATCTGAGAAATATATTAAATCAGGTTTCATCGAATTATTATTCATCTTCTATTCAATGAGTACCTTTTTTAATTAAAGACTAAAATTAAATATAAATTCATTATACTAACTATACATGGATTCATTGATTGCATTTTCATCATGATCATCCATATTATCTTCATCATTTATATCAATCAAATAGATTAATGAAATATTAAATATCGACATAATCGATATTAAACTAATATAAAGATGTTGAAAAAGCCGATGAATCATAGTAACCATTGATCCAATTTATGTTTTCTCTAAAAACAATTTTTTTATCTAAAAATAATCGAAAATCTTCAATAAAATTAAAATCAAACTATTTTTTTCTTATTTTCAAAAATCATTAAATATGTAACAGTTTTTTCTGTTAATTCTATATGAAAATTTTTCAGTAGATACTCACGAAGAAATTATTTCAGATGACACCTCTCGTTTGAATTAATATTGGGCTTATAGGCAAGCCTCAATAGGACTACTAAGAGTCTAAAAAACGTTCGTTTTCATGGGATATTGAAGCCAGATTATAATTCAATTGATTAAATTTTTCGAGTCATTTGATCGACAATTTCTTCGAAACCGTATAACGAAGTTTTGATGCAAAATTTTGTCTATAGATAGATCTAATAATTCGTAGAATATTCTAAAAGTTTCAATTGAAAAGAATATATCTAAGAGAGAGAGAGAGAAAGGGAAAGGGAAGCGCAAACATCAAATACAACAGATTAATTTGAACGCATAAGAAATAATCATCTGTGTACATAGGAAGAAGGATATTTATAGAACAGATCGAAGCAAATAGCATCAAAATAGAAAATATCGTAAAAAAATGTCGAAACGAAAAAAGAATAGAAAAAAATCGAAAGAAGATATACTGAAAACATAAAAATGTCCAAAAGTTAGAAGATGACGTATATAGGCAATTTACTGTTGATTTGTATTCTATTGATGTATAAGATAGCCTTAAAATATTTTTCGTAATTGTTCAGGATGTAATGCGATTGTTAGAATAAGGAGAAAGATAACCACCAACCGACAATAGAATTAAAAAAATTGATTTGTTTTATAGATATGCTTATCGGTTTTAAAGCGAGCTTTTACTGGTGTTAAATGGTATTGTGTATGAAAAAACTGAAGCAACAAAAACAAAAAAAAAATACTGAATATGTCAAAAACAGATGGATGTTGTAATGAAGACCATCGGTGATCATAATCAAAAATCTTTTCTATTCAATATATTAATAAAATTTCGGCATCTAAATACTCTAATCCATTTTATGCTAAATTTTTCGACATATTTTTTTTCGATGATTTTTTTTTTCATCGCTTTCTATCTCGACTTTTTTTTTTGTTTTGGTCTTTCTTATGACATTGGGAAGAAATTTCTATATGTACATACGTTATTTAAGATAGAGCAAGTGCATATATAGGCACAAGGATCATTGGTGATGTTCTTTGCTTTCAAATTGATCAATGAAAGAGAGACAAATCTCTTTCGATATGGACACTACAGAAAGACGTGCATTCACATTTGTGATTAAAAGGTTCATATTTCAAAACATATTCTCTTAATATCAATATGATCAAAATAATAGTAATACAAACTGATATATGTGTATCTGGATTGATTTTATCGTACGTAAATGAGTCATTTGTATTTATATCAATAGATATGACACTCTAGATTTCATTCAATTCTTAGCTCGTTATGTATCATACTTTTTTCTCTTTCTTTCTATCATAACATTTTCTCGTTCTACGTCAAAAAAAAAATAAAAACCACTATGAACACATGGTTCTTCTATGACTCAAGAAAACAGAACGTAGTAATATGTTTTTTTTATATGTGGTTTTTTCTCAATAATCTTAATGATAGAAATAATTTTAAAAAAAAACCTGTATCACATGTTAGATATTCATCAAAAATCTTAACACTTAGTATGGAATTGTGAGTCTATGATGTTTAAAATGATAATGCTTTACTAATATTTTGAAAGCTTATAGGTTGACGTTCCAGTCAAGAAAAAGAAGATTGTACCAATTTTTGACGAAAATTATAAATATTTGGAATTATTTCAGATACTATAAGAAAAATCTTATTTAATTGTTATTTGCATGGAAAAGTAACCAAGAGAAAAACGTATGAAGAACTGAAAATGAAAATATGTAAAAAAGAAAACAAAAAAAAAACAACAACTTTAAGCTCATCCACTAATTTTGTATTCGATAGAAATACTAAAAAGAGTGAAGTTTGCTTTTATTCTGAGTGAATAGGAACAGAAAAAAGAAAAATTTCATTTCTAATGACAGATCCATATAAAAAAAAAAGATAAGAAGTATTTACCGATGCATACTTCATCTAGAATATTCATTAAAATGCTTTCTATAGACATTCGCTTGCTTTTTTTTTTCTTTCTTCTCCAATCGTTGTTATATTATTGTTCGTTGACTCAGGCGTTCTGTTGACTTTCACCTTTTTTTTTAACTTCTCATTCGCATCGAACAAAAAAAAAAGAAAATAAGCAACCTTCAGCAAAGAAGACATACAAAATGAAATTTGCTAATAATAATGATTCTATGTTTCTTTAATAGTCATTCTCTTCTATAAAGAAAACAAAACTCAATGATATTATTTGATCTTGTTTCTTTTTTTTTACATTATAAGTAGAAACTTAACATCTATTTAAACTGTGTATGAGAGTTTCCAACTTAAATGTACTTTAATAGAATCTATTCAAAAATGTCTGATAGACATGGTGTAAAATATAAAACAAAAATAAAAAGTTTTTGTATCTTATTGACTTAAATCGAATAATTGATTATATTTTTCATCGTTTATACATAAAGAGAGTATCATGTTTTAACCATTAATTTAGCTAATAATGTGTCACAATTCCAGTAAATGTTGAGTATAATTAATGTTCCAACATTTTTATTCAAAATAAGTGTTACCTTCGAATTGAACAATAAAGACAGATAGAATCAGACAATGTGAAATAATGAAGAAATAGGTAGAATAAACAAAAGAGGTAAGAAGTATGATATGATAAAGACAATTATGTGTGTTATTGCAGAATGAATAAAATGCACCGATGCAATTGTCAGTTTGTGTGATGAGAAAAGAAAAAGAAAAAAAGAAAAAGACAACTTATACAGAACAACCAGAAAAAAATAAAAATAGATGATGCCCACAATACTACATACGTCTATCACAGTCTCTATTTACTCTCCTCTATTTTAGATAGATTTTTTCTGGAAAAAAGAATGCAATCCTTCAAAATAAATCATTTCATCAGCTATTATAAAATAATGTTTATTTCATTTATTTTTAAGGAAAAAATCTCTCAAATTTACTTTCTATTCTTATAAGTGTCAATAATGAATGAATATACTTTCATGAATTTTTTTGACTTTAAATGAATTAATTTGAATAATAAGAATTGATTAAGTGAGAAGAGAAACAATTGTAGTCATTATGAGATAAAATCAGATGAAATCAATAATTATCTACAGACAGAGAAAACTACATTACATAAATACGTCATCAAAACAAATCTCGAAATTGCAACGTGGCTTCGTATTTTACTCTTTATTTGTTTTTTTTTGTTTGATTTGAAAATATAAGAGAACAAAAGAATAGAAAAAAAAAATTCACATGAAATCTTCTCGAGAGAATATCTAGATTAAATAAAATATAATTTCTTGAAATCTTAATAATGAAATTAATTTTCAAATTAATTAATATATCCATCATATTTTTATAAAGTAAAAATAAAATTGTGGAGATATTAATAGCTGTTCCATTAAAAAAATATATGAATTCACTTATCACAATGATAGTTAATAATGAACTCGAGTTTTTGTTCAATAAATATTTAATTTTTCTTGCTAACCATTGTATTTACCATAGGTTTAAAATGAACTTTGTTGAAATTGAATGAATATTGAAGTCTAAGTTTTTTTTTATATTCATGGTCTTAGACGGTTAGTAAGACCATAATAGGAAACGATTGATAATTATACATCTTATACTATTTACTATTCAACAAATTATTATACTCTTTCAACTGATTCTCTCAAAGATAGTACACATATAATATTTCATTGATAGGTTTATTTGAATTAGATTCAAATATTAAACGTAATACTTCACTTGATACTAATAAATAGGTTTTGGAGTAACACAAAAATATGAATGCGTTAAATAATATAATATGTTGATTTTAAACTGAATGTAGATCAAGACGCACAAACGGAAATAGCAAACAAGGATATACTATGTAATGTTCAAATAAATATATACCTCGGTTAAAGAATGTAAGGTGGTGCGATATTGTGACTCGCAGTCTATTGGTTGATTGACTATTTATTTTTTTCCAAAATCTTTCTTTTGTTTTGGCATTTAGTCAATTTATATAATTTCAAGTCGTAAAATAAGCAGTTGAGAAAAAAGCCGCACCAGACCAGAACCAAAATATCTAGTGTGGCAATAATCATTTTTCATGTGGTAATGATTGTGCGTTGCCATGCCGTCGGTAGGCACTAAAAAAGAGCGACTCACTTTTTGTTCTCATATCAAAGATTAAAATATATATTCGTATAGTCAGAGTTCGTCATTCATAAAACTGCAAAAAAGAAACGGGACTATCTCTGTTCCGGTTCATAGAAATGAGTTGTATTTTTTCGATTACTGACTAAAGTTTGTTCAGTTTCTTTCTTGTTTCATATTAATAATGTAAAAAAATATAAATTATTAAACTATGTTCCTGACCCTAACCAAAGAAATTTGCTTGTTGTCGATTAAGAAAAATGTATATGAAGTACTTGAAACCACTATTGTATTTTCATCGAAGAGGATAGAACATGAGATCAGCAAAACTTTACAGATGATACGACATTGACGCAAATAGAATAATTTTTCATGATTAGTTTGTTTCAATATTGAACTTCATGTCTGATAATTAAAATGGATAATGAAAGACCTTTAGACGCTAAATTGACAGTTTCCTTGCAAAATAAGTGTCTACATGTTTGAAAATTGAATATATTTCAACTGTTAAGTTTTCAACTAAGTAACATTGAATATTGATTGTACATGCATTAATTCAATAACATTCACAAAAATTGTTTTTTTTTCTTGTCTTCGAACACTTAACATATGATGTTTTTTGGTTGATCACAAGTAAAATTTTTTTAGGAACATCAAAAATAAAACCTAATGCTAGTGTTAGTGTACTTCA